AAAATATAATAAAATAACTAAAAATAAAGGAACCATACCAATAAAGTTAAAAATATAACTGAAGAGAAAATATTGAGGGAGGAAGACATAGTTTTATGGTAAAATGTATAATGGATGAGGAGAAAATGGGGTGAACATAGTTATTAATGAGTACGTATAGACGGGGTGAACTTAGTCACTAATAAGGTTAGTGTAGAATGAGGTGAACCTAATAGTTTAAAATTGAAGAGTTAAATAAGGTGAAAAATGATATTAAAGGGATGGGAATAGCCCCAACCCCATCAACAATCATGTTTCACAAATTCATAAGATAGGAACCAGACAACTAGTCAAGTATAAAATAACTCAAGCTCGACAAGTTCGGCTCTAAATGCACAAAAGCTAAATAAGTTTGTTTCGATTAAGCCTTCTAATAGAGGATGAGGGGTTGACCCTAGGCATAGGCAACTAAGGTGGCAGGGCTGGCTTGATTGCAAGGTCAATTAAGCCAGTGCTTAGGGCTCCACATTTGTGAGGGACCCCAAATTATTTATAATTCTTTTAAGATGTGTTTTGTTTGAATTTTATTTTATCTATTTACCGAATTAAAGAGTAAAATAATTGAAATCTAATTTGGGAACTTCATATGCTTCAATCATTGAATTAATAATAGTTTTCAACATTAGATAGTGCCTACTTTTAATCTAACGGTAATAATTATTAGATTCCCAGATTAGGCATAAGTCTAAATATTTCAAATAAAATATATTCCCCTTTCACGATTTACATGGTAATTCATATTCTAGATTTTTTTTTTTGTATATTATTTTCTAATTCAGCATGAGTTAGTAGTTTAACTCACTTTTATATGTCACCTTATTACTATTCACAATTGATGACTGGTGGTTATTATTTCTCAACATTTATTACTATATTATAGAACCTAATTAAACTATTTCTCAATATTTACAGGTCCTATGTAATTTAGTTATTTCTATATTAGTTAATATTTTGAGAATATATACAAGAGACTTTTCGTATTATGCATATTGAAATTTAACCGATCCTTTCTTTTCTCTCATTTGTGAAAAGTCTCTAGAAATAATATTATATATAGCATGTCAAAGACCAATTTAGAGTACATAAATATATTTTACGGTATTTTGGGATTTTAAAAAAATTAAAATCACTAGATGGAAAGCATTTGAAAACTATTGTCTAATTGAATATAAAAACTTTATTTTACATATGAAAAATAGATAAATAAAATTATAGCTACATTATTTATATGTTAAAATTAAAATTTGAAAATATCTTATTTAAACTTCCCCTTAGGGCCTCACTTTACATTGGGTCAGCCCTATAAGGTGGTCATTTAGAACCCCCAACAACTATGGGCTTTAGTGACAAATTTTTTTAGTGACCAAGTTATTTTTGTCATTAATGATATCCTTGGAACAATGACTTGTGAACTTATCACTAATGGTCTAAGATGAGAGATGACAACACTGTTTGTCACAAAAAGTTAACTTTTAATGATGAATTATTACTCGTCATCGTAACTTCGTCACTAAAAGTGTGAGAAATTGGACAAATAGTAATGAATTTTACTGTCGTCACTGAAAATAATAAACAGTTACTTTTAGTAACAAGAATAATTGCCACCGAAAGTTTCAAAAATTTGGTGGTGACTTTGATGTCATCACTAGAACTTTCATAGTTTTAGTGACAACATTGGTGTTGTTACTAAAACTTTTATACTTTTAAGTGATGATTGTCAAGTCGCTACTAAAACTAACAAAATTAATTATGTCACTAAAAGCAATTTAGTTTATGTCATTACATTGGTGTTGTCAAGTGACTTATTTTATATCGTTTGACAACTTTGAAATTATACTATATTGATATGTCATTTTGCACATCAACCTTTAACCTACAGTAATAAAAAACATAACACTCTTGTTATTCCTAAACAAAACTACACCATTAATTAAGTTTGTTAACAAAATTATGAAATATCCTTAATACATCGAAATAGTAAAATCACAAATTTATTTAATTTAAATATCAATACTCATGCCACAGCCTACTTAGTATAGTGGTGTAAGGCAAGTTGAAATCAACTCGAGTCAAATCAAAATTTTTAAAATTCTCAACCTGAACTTAATTTGAAAATTGCAATCCGAGTGTTATTCAAAGTTAAAATTTGAAATTGGATAATATGCAAGGAGGGTGAAATTTGAATCGAAATTGACTTCAATTGAGGTTTCATTTAGAGGTAGATAACATGGATAAAAATTCAAGTTGAAATCAAATTAAATTCAAGTTTGAATCTCAAGTTATAGAACTAGAGCATAAATTTGATTTAAATTGGGTTGGATCTTAGAAAGTAGATACATAAATTGAGTATTGTTTGAATTTAAATTAGGTTGATAATTTTTTATCCAAATTTTGCTCAATATTAATTTTTTGACTAATCAAGTTTCACTTTTATCCCAAGTTTCACCTTTCATGAACCATCACCAAATCCAAAAGGGTGTGACTCAAATTATGATGTGTCGTTTTCGAGTCATGTTATTAGGCGACCATAACCTAACCAGTTCAATTATTCATGTCAAATATCTAAATACTAACTAGACAATCCATAAATTAATTGTGTCACGTTCGAGTTGACCCATATAAAATCCATAAATTAAAAATATTTTTGGGCATCTTAAAAAAATTAGATTTTGTCGGATATCCATATAAGGGACAAGAGATTTTAAATTGCCAACTTATAAAATTGTTCGAACTTTTTAGATTGTTTCAAAATTATTGATCCAACAAATAATTGACACAATTTTAATATGTAGAAAAATAAATTTTAACCAAATCAAACTCTAATATATAAAAAAATAAATTTTAATTACACTATTTTTTAGTCATACTATTTTTTTCCCCAATTAAGGGCTTAGTGCCTATCTACTTCCCACCAATCAAATAGGAGTTTAGGACTCCTATTCATTCCATCTCCCACTCCCACAATCAGATCCCACCTTCCCCACTCAGAGCCACCACTTCCCTTTTCTTTCAATCCAAATATGAGTTTAGGACTCCTTTTCTTTCACAGCCTCTCTCCTTGCGAAGAACAGCCCCTTTCCTTGCTAAGAATCTGATAAGGCACCGTTCATTGCAGCAAAATTCAAGTTAGTAAGTTAATTTTTTTTTTTTTGGGGAGGGGAGGGGAGGGGACGGCAGACTTGAACTCGTGACTTCAAGAAGGGGTGGACCAAAGGCCTATTGGTTAGTAAGTTAATTTGATCCTAATTTGTTTCACATATGTAATCACAAGCACAAATGTTCCCCTCTATCTCTTCCCCACAATATACAAGCAATGGTGATTTCACCGGAAGGAAAGATCGATGGAGTTAATTTCAGCAGTGATCTCCTTCGAACAAACGGTTAATTTCTTCCTTGACTAAACTCTTCAAGAACAAATACCCAGTAGTATATTCTTATCAAAAAGACAAAAAAAGATGTTACCCTCAAAAACAGATTTTTTTTTAATATTCTTATAACAAATATGCAAATATATGTGTATACTTTTGTATAATATATAATGTGTTTTTGTACATGTAGTAGCTCAGGTTCATGAATTTCCTTTTATTTTGATTTGATTTTTTTTTTTTGTCATACTCTACGAGGCCATGACTTTTAATGATTTTTTTTTTTGGTGTCTTGGAATTTTGATTCGCCTCAAATTCCCTCGTATACATGAGACACCTCTCCCTCTCTATCAATTCATTGGCCCTTTATTTCACTCATCCAACATCTCATGACTGTCAATTAGGAACAACTATGGACATTTGTACTGTTGGTTTTCTCTTCACTTATGGTTGTCCCTCTCTACATTTGATAGCCTCTAAGTAAGTTTAAATTTCGGGTCACAAAGCTCTGCCTTCTCTCTAGAAATTTTCACCAAGCAATTCCCAAATACCGCCAAAACCACCAGATTTGAATCCATACAACTCAAAAAGAAACCTCCCCAACCTTTGCTTCATTGTTTAAACCTTCATTGAATCCTATAACTGATCCTCAACCTATTCCCAAGATTGAGAAGCCAATGGTCTTTTATGAAGGAGAGCCTGCCTTCTACTTCACCAATGAAGAAATTCAAGCTTCTTGCCGCTCCTTGCAATATTCTCTCATTGGTAAATGTGTGCTTATGGAAGCCCTTCATTAGGAGTAATCAAGGAAGTAATCACGTCAAAGTGGAGTCTCAAGGGAGATTTTGAAGTTGGTTCTATCGATCCAAGACACATATTGATACGGTTCCAACTGCATGAGGATTACGTCAAAACTTTGTTAAAGGAAGCCACCTTGATTGAAGATTATCTATTTAGATTTTTCAAGTGGTTCTCTGCATTTGTTCCATGAATAGAGCCCTCTATTGTTCCAATGTAGGTGTCACTGTCGAGCCTTCCTTTAAATTTTTTCAAGAAACCATTTCTGGAGCTATTGGTGAAGCCAATAGGCAGAGTTCTTGCCTATAACCAGGCCACTCTTTTCTTAGCCAGGCCAGGGGTGGCTAGGGTCTGTGTGGAAGTTAACTTGCTTGCTCAGAATCCTTCAAAAATATGTATGGATATGGGGGATGAGGGTGCTAGATGGCAGAAAATAGTGTATGAACTTAACAAAAAATTTCTGTTAAAATTGTAGAAAGCAAGGTCATGGAGATGCAGAATGCAGGAAGAAGAAGACCACAGATTTGGAAATTGCTTTAGAAGGAAAGGACGCAGGATCTTTGCCACGCAAAATTGAGGTCAAGAATAATCAAAGGATAGACCAGAGATTGGGGAAAGATTCCACAAGATTTGCAAGAGACATCTAAGGGTTAGCAGACTAAAACAAATCAGAAGGTAGTTCAGCGGAATCCAGATTCTTCAAAACAACACATCCCAGTCAATCAAGTGAAGAGTATTTGGATATAGCTAAATGGAGGAAAGAGGCCCATTAATTCGGGGATTCTAGAGGTAGATCATATGACTAATAGTGAGGTCTCGTTTGGTAAGTCAACACTTTCCATAGTTCCAAAAGAGGGAAGCCAGCCCACAGTTTTGGAAAGAGGGGATTTTTCGGGGAAGGAAAATACTGCTCAGCAAGAAAGATTGGTGGATGCTGCTCAGCATAAGTGTTTGGTAGATGGAGCCCAGCAGAATTCCTTGGTTGATGGTATTCAAGGAATGAAGCCCTCTAATTTTGAAGTTAATTCAGGAATTCGATCCCTCAACCCAGGCTTGAACGCGATTACTAATATTGATAGGCCTTGCCGTGGTTTTCAAATGCAAGAATTGAAAAAAACCAGTGAAGAAGAGCAATGCTTGTTAAATGATCACTGTCTACCATCTTCAGATTCCACTTTTTTCATTGACCATCACTTTGCTGTTAGAATAGACTCAAGTACCTCCTTGGATGATGAAATGGGTATGTACAAAGAAAAGGAACCCCCCAGATATAGGGTATTACACAAATGAGGAGTTATTAGATAGTATTTATGAATTAAATCCTTGTGATGTTAATTCAGACCCTAGTAGGGGTAATGATCTCACCCTCCCTCAAAATCCTCATACGGGCATGATTACTAGATCAAAATCTAGCAGGGTCTCCTTTAACATCCCTTTAAATGATTAGTACGATCATATGGAATGTTGGAGGTGCTAATTCAGAAGCCTCTAGGAGAAGATTAAAGAAGCTTATTTCCTTGAATGATGTATGTTTAGTTTCTATATTGGAACCCAAGTTAAATGCTGATAGACAGCCCAGTTTCTGCAGGAATTTGGGTTTCTCTGGATTTGTGGCCAATCCTCTTACTGAGAGATATATTTGGGTTTTATGGGACCATCGTATGAGAGTGAAAGTGGTGGATATGTATGAACAATCTTTAACCACAGAAGTATATTTCATGGGAACTCAGCCTCTGCTGGTTTCTTTTATTTATGCTAAGTGTGATCACATCCAGAGAAGACCTCTTTGGGCTCATTTATCTAATATCCAAAGATCTCTAATACCTTGGATGTTAGTAGGGGACTTCAACACTATTATTTCATCGTCCGAGCGCAAGGGAGGGGCTGCTCCTAGTCTGTCTATTATGAGTGAATTTTTTGCTTTTATTAATTCCATGGGATTGCAGGATTGTGGATTTAGTGGCTCTAATTTCACTTGGTGTAACAAACACCATGGAAGGATGAGAATGTGGCAACGTTTAGATAGAGCTCTTATTAATGTTGAGTGAGGGCAAAGATTTGCTAGTACACAGGTGGAGCATGCTGCTAAAGGCTCTTCAGATAATTGTCCATTGATATTGTGACTAACAGAGGTGGCTGAACCAAGAAGACAATCCTATTTTAAATTTCACTACATGTGGACTGATCATGCAGGCTTTCTCCAGCTGGTGGAATCTCAATGGCCTAGTAACTATTCAGCAAATCCTATTGAGAATGTGTTTTTGAAGTTGAAATATCTCAAGTACCAGTTGAAAATATGGAATAAGAGTACATTTGGAAATCTTTTCGAGAATATTAAATTGAAGGAGATAAACTTACGACAAGCTGAGATGGACTTGGAAAGGACTAATTCGGAGGCTAATCAATCTGCTTTGGAATTGGCAAATAAAGAATCGGAGGAAATCGTGAAAATGGAGGAAACTTATTGGAAGCAAAAAGCCAATATGAAATGGGCTATGGAGGGGGAGAGGAATACAAAGTTATACCATGCAGTTGCAAAGGGGAAGGGGAGTAGGAATTGAATTTTGAAAATTAAAAATGCAGAAGGTAATTGGTTGGATGATGAGAAAGAAATAGCGGATTGTGCAGTTAGTTTTTTCTCCAACCTCTATCAAACTGAATTTCATTCTCTAGAACAAGGGCTCTTTTCAGTCATTCCTTCTCTAGTCACTATGGAAGATAATGTGTGTTTAACAGCACCGGCTACCTTAGAGGAGCTGAAGGATATCATCTTCTCAATGTCTATTCAGAGTGCTCCGGGCCCTGATGGTTTCTCCGGGAAATTTTTCCAGGTATCCTGGCCTATCATTAAAGCTTGATCTTCTAGCTGCAGTGAATTATTTTTTACAGGGTGGTGTTGTTCCCAGATCAGTGAATGCTACTTTATTAACTTTAATTCCTAAGAAGGAAGTTCCTATTTCTTTCTCGGACTTCAGGCCTATTAGCTTGTGTAATTTTCTGTATAAGATCTTCGCTAAGTTGTTGGCAAAGAGACTTAGTGTTTTGCTTCCCAAGTTGATCTCAGTGGAGCAACATGGTTTTGTTAAAGGCAGGAGCATAGGGGATAGTATTTCCCTTGCTCAATTCATGGTGCAGGAGTTGGATAAGAAGGTAGAAGCGGGCAAGGTAATATTACAATTGGACATGATGAAAGGTTTTGATAGAATGGAGTGGGACTTCCTAAAGAAGGTGTTGAGTTGTTTTGGGTTTTCTGATGACTTTCTGAATATTATTTCCAATTGCCTTAACAACCAGTATGTTTCAGTGGCTGTTAATGGAGTTAGACATGGGTTTTTCCAATCCTCTAGAGGCCATAGGCAGGGAGATCCATTATCTCCTAGTCTATTTATATTAGCTGAAGAGGTTCTAAATAGAGGGCTCTCTTATTGCTTCCAGCAAAGATTCATAAAGAATTATCACACGGGAAGGGGTTCTACTTTACTTAGTCACCTTCTTTTTGCGGATGACACTCTCATATTTTTGAGAGGGAACAAGAGGTCGATGTGTAATCTTTTGGAATTGTGAGGAGATATGAGGAATCATCTGGTCAGAAAGTTAACAAGCAAAAATCTTCTTTGTATTGCTCTTCTAAAATTATCATTGCTAGGAGGAATGCCTTGTCTCATGCTTCTAGAATACCAATCAAAGCATGCCCATTTAATTATCTGGGGTGTACAATAATCAAGGGCAGGGTCAAGCTGCTCTATTTTGAGGATCTGTTGCAGAAATTTCAAGCTAGACTGGAAGGCTGGTATGCCAAGCTCTTATCTAATATGGGCAGGGTGGTTCTAATTCAATCGGTTTTAAATTCTATTCTTGTGCATCTACTGGCCATGTTAAATTTGCCCAAAGGTATTATTGCTAAACTCAATTCCATTATGGCTTCATTTCTATGGTCTGGTACATGAGATGTTCGCAAGAGGCACTAGTGCTCTTGGGATGATATCACTATGCCAAAGGAGGAGGGTGGACTTGGGATCAGGAAGTTTTCGGATGTGCAGACGCCTTTGGAATGAAACAAGTGTGGCATCTTCTACAAGGCTCATCTCTTTGGTCTTCTTTTTTCTCCTCAAAATATTTTAAGAATCAGCATCCGCTTAAACAGCTAATTGGCAGTCATTCCAGACTTTATAAAGCCTGGTTCTGCGGATAGGAGTAGTAATCAACAACTCCAAAAAGCTGGTGGGATCAAGTCATACGGTGAACTTCTGGTGTGACAATTGGCTTGGATCAGGTCCATTAATATTAAGGAACACTAGGCAGCCTAGTCATTTTCCAATGTTATCAAACTTATTAATAAATGGTAGTTGGTGCTTGCAAGGAGTCTCTCAATGCCTAGATGGTAATCTACTGCAAGAAATTGTTTCTTCTTCTGTTTTGTTATCTACCAAAGAGGATAAGTTGATCTGGCAACTTACTCCTACTGGGTCCTTTTCTTTAAAAATGGCTTGGAGTCTAGTTCGCACTTCTAGGCCAGTTCAAATGCCTTTTTATAATCTATGGAAGCAAATTTCTCCTCCCAGTGCCATGTTGCATGGATGGAAGCTATGGAAGGACATTCTTCCTATGGATTCTACATTTCAGAAGAAGGGTGTGGCTTTAGCTAGTAGGTGTGTATTGTGTGAGAAGGATGCAGAGTCACTAAATCATGTGTTCATTAGCTCCTCTCATGCCAGAGAAGTGTGGGGCTATGCTTCTAGATTTTTTGGTTTTCACTTGATTGAGAATGAAAGTCCTATTACAAGATTTTGTGACTCATAAGAATATTCAAGCACTCTTCGGTTGGTCATGTGTTGACTAGGGGTATTCCTCTTCTGGTTTTTTGGCAATTATGGAGGGAAAGATGTAGGAGAATCTTTGAAAATCTCAAACTCCGCTCTTATATCTTATTTAAAATTGTTTTACAGTTTTGCCGCATGCAAGTATATAATGTCAAACCAAAATCCATGGACTCAGAATCAGGGAAAACAATTCTCTGTTCCCTAAATCTCAATCCAGTTTCTCAAGCTACCATTAAAGTGAAATGGGTTTCGTGGCTTTATCCGCCAGAAGGTAGATTGAAATTGAGCATTGATGGTGCTTCTAAAGGAAATCCAGGTGAATTTGGGGTGGAGTGATCATACATAATCATTGGGGTCAGTTCATTCTTGCAGGCTCTTATACCTATTTAGGAGCATGTGGCAAATCACACCAACTCCTAAAAAGATCCAATTCCAATGTTTAATATTTTCGCATGATAATGTACCTCATAGATTGTTGTCTTAAATAAAACTAAGAGGTACAGACAGTGTCATGCGAAAATATTGAATTCATACTTACTTTCACCATAACCAGGCTACTTGAATTGTTATGTTGCCCACTGATAACAAACATCAGTCCTAAAAATACACTATCAATTCTAGGCTTGTGTTCTTTGTTATTACTAAATTGGATGTAGCTACCAAACGGAGGGAAAATCTTAGGGGATTGTGAAGCTTAAGTTTTGCATAGGTTTCCCAAAGCCTGTGCTAGGGAAATAAAGTTTTGGGCAGTTGGAATGCAAATAAGGATGGTTTGATTAGTGAAATGTGGATATCTACCATGCATGAAGAAATATTCTATCCAGAGAAAGGATTGGGTCCACTGCCTATCTATTCCTATGTCCAAACAAGAGATGAAAAGGACAGCGCTGTAATAGGAGGGATGGGTGTGGGTTGGATAATATCTAGGGAGCATGAATGTCGATACAAGATACAAGTATAATATTGATGATACATAGAAAGGATTTCAACCAAGTACGAGCTTGGTGAGTAAGGTCAGACAAGGAGGTCGGATAAGGAACCTAGAGTTCAAAGGCACGGACCTCGACCTCCCTTCGTATGAAAGAGTAAAGGAGATGAGAAGGGAACAGCTGGCTAACAGGAGGCATCTCCAAAACAACAGAAGGCAGTAATTAAGGCACAAAACTCTCAACTACCCAAGATCCTCTCCCAAAATCAAGGAAAATCCCTCAAACGAAGGGCAGGGATCTCGCTGCAGATCCCTTAGAGATAAGAATCAAATTATAAATACGAACAATGCCTCCATCGGAGGAGAGGAACCCCAATTGTATTAGAATCGCTCTGTAATTTATAGTAGCCATCAATAAAGATCTGAAGGGCAAGAGACCACTATACTTTCACTGTGCAAGTCATCCCAACTTTGAAACACTTAGATCCAGGCTGGTTTGCATAACATATACATTCTGCTCAATCCACTTAATTAACACCATCAGTTTGGTGCCGTCTATGGGAACGATTGTTCCTATTACAAATACGCTGATTCTTCAGCGATTGATGGTCTCAACACGCAATATGAGTAGAAATCAGATAAATCCCCTACGGATCCAAACCCAACACGAAGCCACTGGCGGTGGGCAACACGAAAGCCTTCAGGATTTCATCCCCACCACTGAAATTGATCCCCCAATGAATAATGAATTGGAGGCTCTTCGCCTAGTAAACCAGCGTCTATTTTGGCAAAACGAAGAGCTCTTGAAGCTCCTACAAGGTCCTCAGTAGACCAACCTAACCCAAGGAGGTCTTCCGCAAGGAGAGCATTGGCACCTCAACCCCCTTAAAGAAGTCAACGAGGGGGGTGAGAATAGCCACGCCCCCTGCCTCCTAGGAATGGTGAGAATGAAGAGGGACAAAGTCAGAACGAATGGATCGAGAAAAATTATTTTCTCCCTTTCTAGCAAGAAAGAAGAGAGTAATATTGGGAGCAGTGCTTCCATAATATCCAGCATGAGCTCAGTCACATAAAGGAAGCCGTGAGGGGTAAGACCCCAATAACAATGGATGTGTTGGTGCAGCCAATCGAATCCCCATTCAGTGCAAGGGTATTGCATTTTTCCCTTCCTCCAAAGTTCAGAATGTCCTAGATAGAGACATTTGATGGGACTAAAGATCCCATAGACCACCTCAACACCTACAAAAATTAGATAGAGCTACATGAATATCAGGACCTTGTGCGATGCCGAGCCTTCGCCATCACGTTAAAAGGTTCAGCCCTAGCCTGGTTCAACAGACATTGTCTGGCATCAATCTTTTTCTTCAAGGAGCTCTCCATATCCTTCATGTCTCATTTCATAGGAGCTCAAACTTACCAAAAGTCGAGTTACCACCTGTTGAATGTAAAACAGTGACCCAACGAGAACCTACGGTCTTATGTCCAAAGGTTCAAATCAGAATCCCTAAAGGTAGATGTTCTGGATGAGAAGTTCGTTATCACTATTTTCATTGTTGGGTTAGGAGTGCAGTCGAAAGATCTGATGTTTTTAATATCAAAGAACCTGCAAGCAAGCATGGGAGAGGTTGTCTAAAGCCGAAAAGTATATAAATGGTGAAAAAGCCCTTCTCTCAAAGGTAGGGAACTCCTCCTCACAGAAGGAAAAGGTGAAGGAAGAAAATAAGAGGGATGGAAGTCCCAGGAAAGAAATGGGACGAGATAGGTCTTCAAGAAGAGACAAGGATCGCTCCCCCAAAAGAAGGGGAGATGTCAGAGATCACCTATTTCCTCCATAGCCAGAGTTACAATCGAGGTACGCACCTCGGAAACTCACTCCTCTTACCGCAACAATATCGCAGATCCAATGTGAGGTACAGAATGAGAAGTTCCTCAGATCGGATGAAGCCGGATCCAGCAAAGAGAGATTGTGACGCCCCTAAAATCGAGGGTCCTTTGTTAACCCGTTGACCATCCATCAACCCGCGAAAATACCCGTGATTGTTGCCCACTCCAGCATCACGTCAATAATATTCCTTTGTCCGGGATTATAACTCACACGTGTAACCCGTGTTTCTTCAATCAATTAATCCAATCGAAGTTCAATATACCCCAATATATTTCATTTAAGGTCCATTTGTATCATTAGAACCCAAGAACTCATAGCCCAAAGACTTGACAATGTATTCTTAAAATTTCAGATTTTTGAAAAAAATATGGAAGCAGAGATGCGTGCTTTACTGGATGGCCTTTCCCTAATCTATGATCATGGCTTGGAGGTTTATGACTGGGAAATTAACACAGATTATCAGGTCTTATTGGACATGATTACCAAAAAATCTAACCCATCATGGCACTTATGGGCTCTTACAGATCAAATTTTTCCTCTTTTACAGTCTATGGACTGTCGAATACAACATGTGTATAGGGAGGGGAATTCGGTGGCAGATGCTTTGGCTAACCAAGGGGTTATGGATCAGTCTACTCGTTTATACTTGAATCAGGGTGAGCTGCCTATCTCTATCAGACTTTTCCTGCAACATGATCAGCGTGGGATCAAAGCAATTCATAAAAGGTTCTCTGCCTCTTCCTAGACTATCTTAACCGTTTATAGGAACATCTACAAAGTATGCAGAAGGTGCAGATCAGAGTTCAACTAATTCCATTACTCTCTTACCTTCTTCTTCCCAGCTCAGAGACTCCCTCAGCTCAATGGTAGGCGCAGCCTCTTAGCTCCCTCGTCAGCTCATTCAAGGTCTATGTTCTTCAGCAGTGGGTAATAATTTGGATGATGCAGCTGGACTGTTCATGTCACCATTCACGTGACTATTCAGCTTAGCATTTTTTTTCAGTAGTGGGTTTCAGCTATTAGGAAATTATGATTTCTAGAATAGTATTCCAATGTATTATCATGCATTAGAATTTTTTTAATTAATGATTGCACTATAATTAGATTGCATTGATGGGTAAGGTACATAAGTCTCCCCTACTAAGTGTAATTTGATTTTTAATTAATAAAATCTCCCTCGCATCGTTGAGGTTCCTTTAAAAAAAAAATTAAATTTCGGGTTACTAGGCTTGCATAGAATTAACTGCCTTAGTATATTTGAACATTCTAAGACATGCAACATAAGTTACGGGCAATAATATTTACTGCCCTCTATTGCTAGGTTGTGTAGGATCTTTCTATTTTTGGTAGAAAATGAAATAGGACATGAATATTCATTTAATAATCCATTAATTTGAAATAGTATATGCTATATTATTTGCACGGCAAAGACTATTGATTTGTTTGTTCCCACTGCCATCAGTGTAAATCTGCAAAAGTATTTGGGTTCATTTGAAATTTGTAAAAAATTTTAGAATTTTCCCCACTAAAAAAGTAGTAAAATTTTATGGATACTTTATGCTTAAATAAAAATTTGACTTAATTGTGTTACCAAGTTATGTGGTTCCAATAAGAAGTCCACTAAAGAGACTAATGAGGAACCTCATCGAGTTTTGTTTTGCAAAGACACTCACTATGATACAATGAAAGGATGGGCATGCGATGAAGCTAAGTTAAAATATATAAGATTGAGTAGTATATTATACTTCAGTTTTTAGTTTTTTGTACAAATTTTTGAGTTATTGCATTACACTTTTAAAATTGCAGAATCAGATGTTAGAGTTACAATCCCAGCCTACTCTAGAGGGTGGGACCACGTTGAATCCAAACGAGAAATACAACCTTGTACTTGGGACGAGGATGAGGTATACACGTGGTCTCAGGCATCTGTCAAATCAAGTCAAAGAGCTACTTTAGATGCTCAAGAGGCTATAAGGAGGGGTAATGAGGCTGAGAGAGTTCAACATGAGCTGCTTGAGCGAGTAGAGGCTCAGAATCAAAAGATACAATTATAAAATCAGATGATACAATCCTAGCAGATTCAAATTGAAGAGATGGGGATTCGACAGACCCAATTTGAGAATATGTTTGAGGTCTATATGTCTTCTAGAGGGCAGTTGGCTAGCACTCTTACGTCATGATAAGCTATAAATATTACACATTTACTTTTTTACATATTGGCGAATTGTCATTATTATAGAATGTAAATTTTGTGTGTTAAAACTTATTTATACAAAATGGATCCTCAATTTATCTGTTGAAACTTTAATAGTGAAGATTAAGTAAAATTTGTTTGCTAAGTGAAAATTGAAATATTTTTTTCTTGTGACTTTTTTTGTTTAGTGTAAAATAATTGGAGCTTATAGGCCTATTGGAAATAATTTTTCTTTGTGGTTGAGTTTGATTAGTCATTTTTTTTTGGCAGATGTGTTGAATTTGTTGTTGTTGTCTTAATTACTTGAAGCAACAGAAACATGGGATAGT